CACAGCTGGGAGAACAGGGGACACTCAAAAGTGACGCACACAGCTGGGAGACCAGGGGACACTAAAAAGTGACGCACACAGCTGGGAGACCAGGGGACACTAAAGAGTGACGCACACAGCTGGGAGACCAGGGGACACTAAAGAGTGACGCACACAGCTGGGAGACCAGGGGACACTAAAGAGTGACACACACAGCTGGGAGACCAGGGGACACTAAAGAGTGACGCACACAGCTGGGACGACTAAAAGTGAGACACAGGCACTAAAGAGTGACACACACAGCTGGGAGACCAGGGGACACTAAAAAGTGACGCACACAGCTGGGAGACCAGGGGACACTAAAGAGTGGATTAGGAAATTCTGATTTATTTTCCTGGGATTTAAACCCCTTCCCCGTCTCTGTATTATTTTTTTTTATTTTTTTCACCTACAATATCGCTATACTCCGTTGCATATACCCTGTTTTTCTGTAAAGCGACCTTGGGTCCCCTGAAAGTTATTATTAGTATTACTTCATGTTTTGAATGCCACTCTATACACAAAGCTGCCCTGCTTTTAAATGTCAGTAACCCCCCCCCCTCTGGGCTCCTGCAGGTCTGGTTTCTGTGGAGGTTTCTGCTCCTGCCATCCAGACGCTGCCTCCTGCAGTCAGTCTGTCTCTGTCTCATCCTCAGGCCAACATGCCCATCACCGTGCAGAGCTGCCCTCAGGTACGATCCATCATCAAACACAGAGCACATCGTTAATACTTATCTGAAGTCTTAGGAGGTGTAGCAACAGCAGGCAACAAACAAAGTCTCGGAGAGGCTGAGGCCGGGCCTGTTTGCTGTTGTATGACACGCAACAAAAAGCACTTGCTGAAATCAAAATTGTAGTGAATAATAATGAAAAATTAGATGATCAACTTATTTTACGTAGACATAGAAATAAGGATCAAAGCAATCCTAAAGCTTCCGGTCATTAAAAAAACTGGCACAATTTAAAACGACTTCAATTATGTGATACGAGCAATCGCATCGACCAATGGATTCCAGTTCTCTGTCCTTTTAAGATGGACTTAATGACATATAGCTCCAACACTCGATATTGAAATGTAGAAAGATTTAGTATTAGCTCGGTACAATCCCCCTTGTAAAAACCAGTGTGCCAGTAAAAAAACAGATGAACGAGTTCCCCGGGTACCAACTCTTCCTCTTCTCCCTCCTCTTCCTCCCCAGGTGCTGACCCAGGAGAGTCTGGCCTCCCTGTTGACGGGGATGATGGCTCAGACGGGGTCTCTGGGCCAGCCCATGCTGATCCCCCTCAGCATGGCCGGATCCATCGGGGGGGGCGGTCTCGCTGTCCTCACGCTACCCTCCACTAACGTAGCCTCTCTTCCCGGATACACTACAGCGAACACGGCCGGGAACCTCCTCAAACTGCCCTTCGCCGGCCTCCAGGGTAACACAGCAACCGTGTGTGAAAATCTGTGACAAAAATATGTATATGTATTAGATAGCTAGATGTATAGATACTGTATTAATCAGACATACAGAATAACACTAACTCAGAATTTTGAGATTTTGAGAAAAAAATCAAGATTTTAAGAAAAAACACAGAATTTTGAGAGAAAATCTGAATTTTGAGAAAAAAAGTCAACATTTTGGGATTTTCAGAAAAAGGTCAGGATTTTAGGAAAAAACACCGAATTTTGAAAAAAGAGTCATCATTCTGAGATTTTGAGAAAAAAAGTCATCATTTTTTTGATTTTAAGAAAAAGTTAGAATGTTTTGAGAAAGTCCGAAAAAATTCTGAATTGAGATTTTGAGAGAAAGTCAGAATTTTTAGAAGAAAGTCAGAATTTTGAGATTTTGAGAAAGTCATGATTTTGAGAAAAAAGTCAGAATTTTCAGAGAAAGTCAGAATTTTCAGATTTTCAGAAAAAAGCCAACATTTTGAGTAAAGAAATCTGTATTTTTTACATGACAGGATGTATGATTACCTAGAAGACCCGGTATTCCTCCATCTTGTGACTGTGTATCTCTCTCTCTTGGATATCAGCATGTGAAGGACACTGTTCAGGAACTAGTTGATGCTCTGTATGTGATGACTACTTCCATTCTGGAGAGGATCACAAATACATGGATCCTGAGGTTCAAGCTCAAGCTGGGAACCAGTGAGGTTTCCCTAACAATAAATAAATAAAGATTGAGATTGACTAACCTCTTGATTGTTGTGCTCAGCAGCGACGGTCCTGAACTCTCTGCAGCCCCAGCTTCAGACCAGCGCTCAGACGATGTTCCAGCCTCAGGTCCAGGTGACGTCTCCCTCACCTGTCCCTCAGGTGTCTGCAGCTCAGACCTCCTGCTCCTCCCAGTCCAACATCTCCCTCGCAGCGCTGCAGAACGCAGGACTCTCCATCAACCCCGCCATCGTAAGACTGATCCTCTGTTAGTTATACTTTGTGTCCTGTGTTATATCATTAAGGACGGTCGTGGCTGCGAGGAAGTGCAGTCGTCTTTCAACTTTAAAGCTCACCTATTATGCAAAATCCACTTTGTCATGTCCAGAGATGGGGTCGTTACTAAAAAAAAAGTAATATATTTCACTACTTCGTTACTCTCTACATAAAGTAACTCGTTACTTTACTCGCTTTGCCGGCCCGCCCCTCCCTACAGGCAGATCACGCACACTGCTAAAGTTTCAAATGTTTTCTTTAGTTCAGTTTCCGTTGAAACTAAGACTGATCCAGATAGCTCCTGAATGTTCTCCTATCTGACCATGGCTGTCCTCTGTCTCCTGCGCAGTATATCTCTGAACGATGGTGATTCCACTGTGCAAATGGGCAACATTACCTCTACTATGAAGGATGCTACAAGCCTGTCCATCTCTGCTTTGGTTACCTGTCCTCCAAATTCAAATTTTTGCTGCTTCGGCGCACTCACAACATCCTCTGGGTTCGGGGGTCCTTAGCTATTAGCTTCACGTTAGCATGTGTTCTTAGCATGTGTTTGTTGAGGTTTGACGTGGTGTTTGCAGCAGTGGATAACAGCTTCTGGCCTGGACACAGTTTTCACCTCACCGTCACATTCCTGTCTATTCTTCAAACCTGCGGCGGCCTCTTGTCTGTCAGTGTGATTATGACTGATTTTAGTAAGTAACGAAGTAACGCGTGTCGGGGCAATATTAGTAACTGTAGTGTGATTACTGAATTATAAAAGTAACGCGTTACACCCAACTCTGGTCATGTCTCTTCTACATCAACATGTGTCCCCTCTTCTTCATGTCTCTTCTACATCAACATGTGTCCCCTCTTCTTCATGTCTCTTCTACATCAACATGTGTCAGTACAGAGAGTTTCCACCATGGGGACACTAAAGAGTGACGCACACAGCTGGGAGACCAGGGCACACTAAAGAGTGACGCACACAGCTAGGAGGCCAGGGGACACTAAAGAGTGACACACACAGCTGGGAGACCAGGGGACACTAAAGAGTGACTCACACAGCTGGGACACCAGGGGACACTAAAGAGTGACGCACACAGCTGGGAGACAAGGGGATACTAAAGAGTGACGCACACAGCTGGGAGACCAGGGGACACGA